GGAGGTACAGTATTTAGGTATAAGGTATCGTGATATCTACTTTCAAGTGGGAGACAGAGAGAAAGGGAGACAAAATGTTAACACTGGCAAATCTAGGTGAAGGGCATAGGAATGCCATTGTGCTACTATAACTACTTTTCTGTAAGAGTGAAAATTTTCAAAATAAAATATTGGAGGCAAATCAATAAGTATTTCTTTTTAAAATGTCTACCATGTTTCAGGGCACCTGCGTGGCTCAGTTGGTTGAGCGACCAACTCTTGATTTTGGCTCAGGTCATGATCTTGCAATTTCGTGGGTTTGAGCCCCACATCAGGCTCTGCATGCTAACCATGCATGGAGCCTGCTTGGGATTCTCTCTCTCTCTCCCCCCCCGCCCCTCCCCCACTTACAGTCTCTCTCAAAACAAATAAACTTAAAAATTTCTGCCATAGTTTCAAACAATTATAAGTTTTTCTCTGCCCCTTGAAGTATTAGCCAGAGGTACATTCATCCAACAGTTATTGAGTACCTACTATATGCCAGGCATTGCCTTAGGCACTGGGTAAGCAGTGCTGAACCAAACACAAAAGTCCTTGCTCTCAGGGGCTGGGTGGCTCAGTCAGTTAAGCGTCCGACTTCAGCTCAGGTCATGATCTCACGATTCACGGGTTCAAGCCCCGCATCGGGCTCTGTGCTGACAGCTCAGAGCCTGGAGCCTATTTCAGATTCTGTGTCTCCATCTCTCTCTGCCCCTCCCCTGCTCGCAGTCTGTCTCTCTCAAAAATAAATAAAACATTGAAAAAATTTTTTTAATCTTTGCCTTCACAGAACTGATATTTTAGCAGAAAGTGCGTCTCAACGTGCCATTTCTGCTATTCTCCACACTGGCACCCTCACCATCCGGCCATAGATGTGTGGCAAAGACCGCCTAGTAGCCCAGGCTGCCTCCATTCTTCGCTTGTTTAGTAACAGAACACTGATTTCATTGCTGGTGGCGACGCACCCAGCTGGAAGGTATTTGCCAGCCTTCCTTGAAGCTGGGATGGCCGAGACCAAAAACCCTCCAGTCAGTGGGTGGGACTTCCAGGAAAGTTTCCTGAAGGGGACAGGCAGCTGGCAGGTGACCTTCATCCCCTTTACTCCTCCCACGTCATTTTTTGCTTTGAATATGGCCTGGGCTCCAGTAGCCGCAGGGAGCCAAGTGGTGACGTGTAGAACGGAACCCACGTGCTGAGACGGGCAGAGCAGGAGGCTGGAAGGCGTTGCATGCCTGATGACCCCGTGGAGCAGGAACACTCTTTGTCTCACGTGGGAGAGAAACAACCCTCTGTCCTGCAGGTGGTCTCCATTCTAACAGTCAAACATAACTCACAACTGACGCGAGAGCACACAGGAACAGCAACACACCAGCCACAGGGGACGGGGAAAGAGCGGTGACGGGACTGAGTGCTGTCCTTCAGCACTCAGCGCCCAGGCATTGACTAAGTATTTTGCAGGCATTCACTTACCTAGTCCTCACAACAACCCTGTGAAATGGATGAACATTGGCCCGTTTTACAGGTGAGGACAGTGGGGCACAGAGCAGTTGAGTCACTGGCCCAAGGTCACACTGTTTAACAAATGGAGCCAGGCTACGAACCAGGCCATCTGGAGCCTGAGCCCATTCTCTTACAGCAAATTTTGCTGCCCTGTAAGCGAGGGGGACTCCCAAGGCAGGGCACTGGACTGACCTGAGCGGCAACCCACCACCCCAGGGCCCCTGTGCGGTCCCCTCCCTCGCTGACCGTGGCTTGGTCACGTGACTGGCTTTGGCCACTGGGGCATTAACGCAGAGGCTGGCTACGCGCTTGTCTATTGGAAACGGTCTTGCCACCTTGCCAGGAAGCCCAGTCTGGACTCCTGGAACATGAAAGACCTGCCCCACCCCCATGAAAGAAAGACCCACGCAGAGGAGCATCTCAGCCGACCCCAGCACCGAGCCAGCCCACAAGCTGACTACAGTCTTGTGAGTGAGTACAAGAGAAAAACCACTCAGCTGACTCTTAGAATCTTTTTTTTAATTTTTTTTAACGTTTATTTATTCTTGAGACAGAGCATGAACGGGGGAGGGGCAGAGAGAGAGGGAGACACAGAATCCGAAGCAGGCTCCATGCTCTGAGCCATCAGCCCAGAGCCTGACGCGGGGCTCGAACTCACAAACCGCGAGATCGTGACCTGGGCTGAAGTTGGACGCTCAACCGACTGAGCCACCCAGGCGCCCCTGACTTTTAGAATCTTGAGAAATAATAAGTCGCTGTTGTTTTCGTTTACTATTTATTTATTTGAGAGAGAGAGAGAGAGAGAGAGAGAGAGAACATAGGAGGGACAGAGGGGCGGGGGGGACAGAGGATCCGAAGCGGGCTCTGCTCTGACAGCAGAGAGCCCGATTCGGGGCTCCAACTCATGAACCATGAGATAGTGACCTGAGTCAAAGTCGGCGGCCGAAGCAACTGAGCCCCCCAGGCGCCCCTAAGTCATTGTTGTTTTTATCCACCAAGTTTGGGGATCATTTGTCATGTATCAGTAGATAACCGAAACAGGCAGACAGACATAGGAAGTGACCTGAGGAAATGCATTGAGAAGAGGCAATTCGATTCATCAGCCATTTATTAAAGCCCCATGTCCCGTAGGTCCCAGGGGAAGCCAGGGAGAGGGAAGAACGAAATCAGAGGATCAGACAGTCCCTGCCCTCAAGGAGCTGACATTCTCTGGTCCCAGAAGGCTCCTTCACACCAAAGACAGTATAGATTGGTTACGGGGCTCAGGAGCCTGTGAGTGCGGGTTTGGATCTTGGCGTCACCACTTCCCAGTTATATGAGCTTTGCAGGTTATTTCACCTCACTGGGCATTATCCATTCATCCACAAATACCTGTTATTAAACCCTGGAAAACGCAAGCTAACCTATAATGACAGAAAGCAGGTCTCTCGATGCCTGGGGAAGGGAGTGTACAGGTGTATACAGATGTCAGGACGCATGAAAACATTTTAAATGTGTGCAGTTCACTGTATGCAAATTATTCCTGGACGTGATGGTTACGTCTATGTGTCAACTTGGCTAGACTATAGTTTCCAGTTATTTGATTAAGCACTCATCTAGGTGTTTCTGTGAAGGCATTTTGTAGATGTGGTTAAAGTCTGCAAGCAGTTGATCTGGGAGATAATCCTCAATAGTCTCAGTGGGCCTCATCCGATAGATGAAAGGCCTTAAGAGCAAAACTAAGTGGGGAGAAAAATTCTCCCACGAGGAAAAAAGAATTCTGCTTGTGGACCACAGCATCACCTCCTGTATGAGCCAGTTACTTGTAATACATCAATCTCTAGATGATAGATGATAGATAAATAGACAGATAGATAGATATAGAGATATAAAGATATATATCCTATTGATTCTGTTTCTCTGGTAGAACCCTGAATGACACACTTGATAAATGTAAAAAAAAAAAATCTAAGAAATATATATATAAATGAAAAAATAGCTACTAGTCTCTGTTGAAATAAAATTTGAAATTATGATTAAAAATGCTAGGCATGGTCTTAAGTGCTGGGGATTCAACATAAACCAAGAACTTGCACTCTAGTGGAGGAGGAGGGAAAAGAAAATAAACAGACATACAAATAAATACATAATGTCAGGAAGTGAATAGTACAAGCTCTTGGTTTATGTCGAGGGAAAAGGGACAGAATGGTGGAAATGCTCATTTAAACAGGATGAAGTGAGGAAGCAAGTCATGCAAACATCTGGGGAGAGAACACTTCACGTAGCAGGAATTGCAAGTGCAAAGGCCCTGAGGTGGCAAGAGGACGTGTCATTTGTGTCCGCCCAACATGGATAGCTTGCTGTGTCCGTCCTGGTCCAAACAGGAGACAGAGATCACCCAGTAAGCTAAGTAGGGCAAGTTTAAAATAAAGACTTATTAAGATATTAATATATTTAATATTACATACAATTCTCTATCCAGTATAAGGGATTATTAAGCAATGGTAGGAGAGTGACTATGAAGATGGAAAGAGATTTTTTCTAAGTTTATTTCTTTAAATTTTTTTTTCAACGTTTATTTATTTTTGGGACAGAGAGAGACAGAGCACGAATGGGGGAGGGGCAGAGAGAGAGGGAGACACAGAATCGGAAACAGGCTCCAGGCTCCGAGCCATCAGCCCAGAGCCTGACGCGGGGCTCGAACTCACGGACTGCGAGATCGTGACCTGGCTGAAGTCGGACGCTTAACCGACTGCGCCACCCAGGCGCCCCTAAGTTTATTTCTTAATTTTGAGAGAGAGAGAGACAGCACGCCAGCAAGGGAGGAGCAGAAAGAGAGGGAGAGAGAATCCCAACTAGGCTCCGAGCTGTCAGTGCAGAGTCCAATTCCGGGCTTGATCTCACGAATCCTGTGACCACGACCTGAGCTGAAATCAAGAGCCTGACACTTAACTGATTGAGTCATCCAGGCGCCCTGATGGAAACAGAATTCTAAAGGGTACCCTAGGTCTGAGAAGGAGTATTCGAAGAAGGACAAACTTGAAGAGGGGTTCAGATATCCACACCAGATGGTGGGGAAGTTCTCTGGGTCCCTGGGGCCAGAGGTGGTCAACAGTCATCATGCGGGCAGAAACAGTGCTCTGGGGGCAGGCAAGGCAAGTTTGGTGAGTGGCTGCACAGAGGCACTTGGGGGGTGGGGGGGCTGTGAAGGTGCCAATGGAGCTGGGAGCTAAAGAGGACACTGTCAGCAGGGTCTGGCATACCTCTGTGTGTAGTGTGGCCAAGGCAGCTCCGAGCCAAATGTATGGGATGAGGATTGGGTCATCAGCTCACTAGACAGCCAGCCCCACATCCCTCTTCCCATCCCATCCCACTCCCCAGTACATATGTGCTTGGGACCAAGGAGAGGGTGTGAAAGCAGTGACTTGTCAGGGCACAGCCTACGCTGCCCAAGGCTCCCGGACACCCTACCCAAGTGCTACCCGAGTCAAGAGAGAAAGCACATGGAACTGGAACTCGTGGGGTCCTGCAGTCACATGGGCAGGAGAAACCCCGCAGGACCAAACAGTAGCAAGAAAAGAGAAACCTGACAACTAACCCCAGGAAAGAGGGCCCCTTTCTCCGCCAGTGTCCCTGCAGCACCCTCTACAGGCCAGGCTGAACAACTTCCTGGCTGGCCAAGGAGAAATAGCCAAGGCCCAGGTCCATCATCAAAGAGCAGGCGGAAAGAACGCATTTGGAGCCAAGAAGCAATAGACTTAAAACCTACACAAATGCTCTCCCACATTTTGGTAATTTGCCACAGGATGAGGCCCAGCCTTCCTCAGGTAGAGGCCAAAAAAGTCACCCTCCCAGATTCCCTTTCTCCTAAGAAGTATTTCTGTAGACATGTAACCTGGTCTCCACCAGTCAGATGCATCCAGGTAAACTGGGGCTCAAAAGATGAAAGAATGGATGAGAGCATTCTTAGGTACTTGGTGGACCAGGGGTGCCCCTCTACAGGACCTGAAACTGGGTATTGCTGCAGCAAGTGAGGAGCTGGGAGAGCCTAAAGGACACCCATGAGGGTACATGGGTACACGTGAGGGGCAAAGCTGAGCTGGACAGTGAGATCCAGTGAAGAGGGATGGGTGCTCGATGGGAAGGAGACCCACAAGGTCAGGTTGAAGAGAGACCTGAGGAGACATACTTGAGTGGCCAAAGTGGTGGACACAGGCAAGGAGCAAGTCAGAGAGAAGGAGCAGAGTCCAATGGGAGTCTTGACTCTCCTGCCTCACCTGGCCCTGTCATCTGGCTCTCTTCCCCAGCCTCTCTAACCTGTCTCCCCTCAATTCTCCCTAACTTCCCTTCATTCTCTCTCACCTGCCCCAACAGCCGGCATCCCCCACTTAACCTTCTCAACTGTTATTGTCTAGCCATCCCTCCCCCCATCTGCTCTGCCTACCTGTCTCCTCCTCAGTCACTCCTCTCAGACCTCCCCCCTTTACCTTTAATCCTCCACTTCTGTCTTGCTAATCTGTCTACCTTCACTTATTCTCCATTTGTCCCTTCTCCCATATCTTTTTTGCTGACAGGGGCTGTTGTTTCCCACCCAGGAACCCTCAGGGTGTTCTGGGCACCCTGGGGCTGGGTTGGGGCTGTGGACTTCAGAGCGGGGAAGGGACTTGGGAGGCAGCAGGATGTCTCAGACTTGCATGGGAGGAATGGGCAAGAGGTGGGGAGGAGGGTATAGAAAAGGCTGTGCAAAAGATGGAGGTCCTCTGGGATTGGGATCTGGGGGTGGAATCTGAGGTTCTGCAGCAAAAGCTGAAAGCCGGGGAGCCAGCCCACCTCCTCTACCCTTAGGTGACCCAAAGTGCCCTTTTCTGCACATTTCCCACCCTCCGCCCCCAAGGAGGGTTCCCCTGACGCTGCAGTGGGGTCCCTGAGAGACATACCAGAGAATCCAAGGGGGCACCGTGTGAGGGATGGGCAGTGGAAGTGGAGCCGAGATCCCACTGAGGGTTCCCTGGTGCAGTTCTGCCCACTCCACCTGCAACCTGTGCCTGGTAACTAGAACCTTCACCCAGACCTACCCAGACCACCCAGCACAAGTTTGGCCATTTTCAGGACCATAGCAAAGCAAGAAAAGCAAATTTCAGAAAAATGTATTCCATATGATTGACTCTACTTTTGTAGAACTAATGACAAGAATATGTGCCACGAACCTGCATTTGATATAAGTATAGAGAAAGCTGAGTTAACAATGATTCTCTTAGGGGGTTCGAGTGGGAAAGGGAGAGGTAGAGAGGGAGTTAAGAATGAAAGGGGAATAATATAAGCTGAATGAAAAAAATAAGCATGGGATCATTTTTTCCTTTTAGTACATTTTAATCAACTTTAACTTCCATTTTTTTTTGTTTGAAAATACTAGAAACTTACAAGAAGTTGCAAAAATACTCCGAGAAGTTTCCCATACCCATCATTACATAACTATAGCACCTTCTCAAAACTAGGAAATTGACACCATCGCAATACGAATGACTAGACTACAGACCTTACTGGGATTTCACCGGCTTTCAAATGCATTCATTTTTTTTTTTTGTATGTCTTTGCGCATGATTCAGTGACATTTTATCACATGTATAAATAAACACCATAATCAAAGATACAAAATTGTCTCCTTATCCCAAAGAAAGACCCAAGGGCCACCCCTTTACCGTCACACCATCCCTCTGCTGTTACCTTAGACAACTACCAATCTGTTCTCCATCTCTATAATTTTGTCATTGCAAGAATGTTCTATAAATGGAATCATATAGTATGTAACATTTTGAGATTGGTTTTCTTCATTCGGCACAATGTCCTTAAAAGCCATCCAATTGTGTGCCTCACTAGTTCCTTCGTTTTTATTGCTGAGTACTATTCCATTGTATACAATGGAATGGCTCCACCAATAACGGAATGTTTAACCATTCACCTGTTGAAGGACATGTGGATGTTTCTAGTTTGGCATTACTACAAACTATTAACATTAAATAGTTTAGCTAGTACTAGTAGTTTAATGGGCTATTAAAAGTGCCATAAGGGGCACCTGGTTGGCTCAGCTGGAAGAGTCTTCAACTCTTGATCTCAGGGTCATGAATTCAAGCTCCATATTAGGTGTGGAGCCTACTTAAAAAGAGTTCCATGAATATTCATATCAAATTTTTGTGTCAACATGCATTTTTATTCCTCCATGATAAAATGCCCCTGAGTATGATTATAGCATCCTATGATGTAAGTGTATGTTTAACTTTTTAAGAAACTGCCAACTGTTTTCTAGAGTGGCTATACCATTCTACATTCCTACCAGCAATGTATGAGAGTTCCAGTTTCTTTGAATCCTCACCAGCACTCGCTCTAATCAGTATTATTATAATTAGCCATCCTAATAGGTGTGTTGTGGTATTTCATCATTTAATTTGTTTTTCCCTAATGGTAAGCAATACTGACATCTTTTCTTGTGTTCATGTGCCATCTGAATATTCTCTTCAGTGAAATGTCAATGTCTTCTGCCAATTTTCTAACTGGATTTTCATCTTATTTTTAATTGATGAGTTTTGAGAGTTTTAAAAAATATTCTAGAGACTAGTCCTTGTCAGATATATGATTTGCAAATATCTTCTTCTAGTTGGTTACTTATTTTCTTTTCCTCTTAACAGAGTCTTTCACAGAGTAAGTTTTTAATTTTGATAAAGTCCAATTGATCCTTTTTGTGTGTGAGAGAGAGAGCACGTGTTCCAGAGCAGGGAAGGGGCAGAGAGAAGGGGCACAGAGGATTTGAAGCAAGCTCTCCTCTCCACTCAGAGTGAAGAGCCTGATACAGGGTTTGAACTCATGAATGTGGGATCATGACCTGAGCCAAAGTCAGATGCTTAATGCACTGAGCCACCAAGGCACCCCTATCCTTTTTGGGTTTTTTTTAAGGATTATGCTTTTGGTGTCAAGTCTAAGAATTCTGCCTAACCTACATATAGACCATTTACATTTAGTGTAATTATTAGTATGGTAACACTTAAGTCTGCCATCTTTTTTTCTGTTCTTTTTATTTTTCAATACTTGCTTTCCTTTCTCCTTCTTTCCTGTGACTTCTCTGAATATTTTTCAGTGTTTCATTTGTTTTATCAATGGTGATTTTGCATATATCTCTTTGTGTCAGCTTTTTTTTTTTTGTGGTTGCTCTCAGATTTCAATATACATATAAATGTAACTTATCACAGTGTAATACTACTGACATTTTACCACTTCAAATGAAATACAGAAACCTCATTGCTGTTTAGGTCCCTTTACCCTCTCTGCTTTATAATTACATCCATACCTTAAAAATCTTTTAAAATACATTGAGAATAATGTCAGACAAAGTAAAGTGTACTTTGCTTTCAAACACCTAACATTGTTTTTAAACTTCTGAAGAGGATAGTCTATCATATTTACCTACATATTTACTCATTCTATACTCATTTCTTCATTCCTCATGTTCTAAATTACTTTGGTTTTCCTTTGCTTTTTGTTTAAAGAATTTCAGTAATTCTTTTAACACAGGTCTGCTGGTAACAAGTTTTCTTAATTTTCTTCACTTAAAAATGCCTTTATTTCACCTTCTTCCCAAAAGAATATTTTCAAGGCACCTAGGTGGCTCAGTTGGTTAAGCATCCAACACTTTGTTTCAGCTCAGGTCATGATCTCATAGTTTTGTGAGTCTGAGCCCCATGTAGGGCTCTGCTTAAGATTCTCTCTCTCTGCCCCTCCCCCACTTGTGTACCTTTGTCTCTCTCTCAAAATAAATAAATAAACTAAAAAAAAAAAAGATTTTCACCGGATAAAGAAGTCTGGGATGGTAGTTCTTTTCCTACAGCATTTGAAAAATGTACCACTTTCTCCTGACCTCCATGGATTCTGAAGAGAAATATGCTGTCAGTCAAATTATTGTTGCCCCATAAAATGTAGTGTCATTTCTCTTTGGTTTTTCTTTTCCTTTCTTTTTTTCTTCTTTCTCTCTCTCTCTTTCTTTCTTTCTTTCTTTCTTTCTTTCTTTCTTTCTTTCCCTTCCTTCCTACTTGTTTCTTTCTTTCTTTCTTTCTTTCTTTCTTTCTTTCTTTCTTTCTTT